ACTGAACATTTACCAAACATTACTTTTCATGTTTGAATGCAACATGGAATATCTCCACTTATATTTCAATTTTATTTTAGCAAAATATCTCTTAAGTATCCAATAAAGTTTTTAATGGATAACTTTATTGTAGTCAAAAATTTAAACTTAAAGAAAATAATTGGAAGTCATCACACGTACAAAAACACTTTAAGGAATCGGAGGCAGCAGTAAGTTAACGAATTGGCAAATTACGTTAATTTGCCTCTGAAAAAACTACTATGAAATTGATGTGAAGCAAAATGCCAATGGTTTAGAAAGTATTAAAAAGGAATCATTAGCTGAAAATAATTAGCATACTTATTTTCCTGTGATATACATAGCTGGTGTCATTATATTCAGAACAAAGCTAATTCAATGTTCACTTACAAGCCAAGTGCTGATCTTCAAATCTCCGTCATCAGTCATCTAATGTCTTATACTGATCTATCTGAAGAATCATATAGTCATATATTTAATATATAAGTCATATATTGATCATATATAAGTCATATATTGATCTATCTGAAGAAGGTTTTTAAAAAAAATGTCTTCATAGTAGACACAAAACCAAAATGAGTTTTAATGGGATGAAGTGGCAGCGCATACCTAGAACAAAATATGTATCGTTAACGCATTTGGAGTTAAGTGTATATGATGCTCTTTCAATTTTTAATATTGGAAGAAAAGTAACTATACTTTTATTTCAAAAACTGAATATAATTTCTGGTATATATACTCTTAAAGACTGTTCAACCATAAACAAAAAACGTTTAATTTTCGCTGAGTATCACAATCTAACAAAATCTAAAAAGTGACGACAAGTTATTCGTAGATGCAAAAAAAATAAATAAATAGATGACGCAGAAAATAACCTAGAAATTTGTTTTTATGAACCTAGCTCTTGTTCTTATAAATAACAGATTGAGTATTTGACATTTTTATTTAGTGAAATTGGTAATACAATATTTAAATGCTTTTTTCTCAAATAGTCAATATTTAACCTCATTTTTTTTTTTTTTTTTTAATTTAAAATATTTTAAAAATATTATTATTGCATCTAATTGTAGAATTAGAACTAAAAGTTTTACAACACTGTTAGGAGTTATTGGGTTTTGTATCTCGTTAACAAACATGCATTTTTTTAAAAACGCTATTTTGAAATTTTTTTAATAAAAGTTTTTTTGAGGGTCTTATACCTTAATAAATCTAAAATATATAATCCAACATTTTCACAAGTTTCTGCTTCATCATAACTCCCCATTGTTACATCAAAGCAATCATGTATGTTTTTCTTTTTCAAAGTTTCCTTATTAAATAAAGTTATGTTTTTCTACAACGTTTTATCATACGGATTGTTTCTTAAGGAATAGTCGTGTGGCTTTTTTCAAAATCAATTGTTTTATCTAAAATATCTGCAGTTATTGAGGGGGAAAAATCGTTAATTTCAAATTGAATAAATGTACAGTCAATTTAATTTTCGATTAAGGAGAACCAATTTATAACATCAGCGCTATTTTTCCACTTTTACAAATTTAACTTATTTCAAAGAATATTTTTAATTTTGTCAAATTCAACTTTGCTTACATTTCCTATCTCACTTTTTGATGGAACCAATAACCTACAAGGAAGTTTGTTTTCAAAATTTGGTTTATCGTCTTTGAGTGTTACCAAGGCATGGACCGGGGCAGTTGATTCGATTTTGTTATCAAGGTTTGTCTTTTTAGCAATACTTTGGCTTCTTAATTGCATTTTCCATATTTTTAGGGGCTTTCTCATAAGAGGTAATATTGTCACTTTACATTTTTTCATAGTTTTCTGTTGTGAGTTAGTAAATGTTATTTGTTTTATCAGCAAAAACAAAAATTTTAGGGTTTGACTTAATTTTTTTATTAACTTTAATTCTGATTGAAATTCGTTTTTTATAGGGCGAAATTTATTGTTTTAATTAAAGCAATAGGTCATTTTCAAAATTTTCCAAATTAGGTATTAATGGTTTTTTTTGTTTTAAATCCATAGTTATCATTATCTTGGTTTTTATTAAATACATCATATGTGTTTCTTCTTGGTTTTAAGAAAAAAAGGGCTTTCAAACTTTTCAAAAAATACTTTTAATAAAATGCTCAACTTTTTTAATCAAAAAAATAGTATAACTTTTTTCATCTACTATAGGTAAATTGTAAACTTTTTTGGTGTCACATTTAACCTCTCTAAAAGTTCATATAAACCTTTCAAAAAACCAAATGATAAATTGATGTATATTAATATTATTACTAATTGTTATATTATTAATATTAATATTAATTATTGTACATCATTACTAATATTATTCATCCGCCTGCCAAACTCCCCTAATAAAAATGTAATCAATTCCTCTAAACAAATATTTAAAGATGCCTTTTAAAAAAGTGGTTTTGAAAACTTTGAAATAAAATTTGATCCTGAAAAAAAGAATGCAAAAAAGCGAAAAAAAACTAGAAATGTAATTTGGTTTAAATACCATCTACAGAAAGTTGTAATTGTAAACATAAAAATAATTGTCCAATAAGTGGAAGTTGTTTAGAATGTAAACAACTTCCACTTATATAAGAATGTACCTGACTTAACAATATATTGAGATAACAGAGAGTAAATGGAAAATATTTTTCTGCCGATCATATGCAATCCTTTTAAAATAAAAAGTAAAATTCAAAAGACACCATGCTGTCAAAATATCGATGAATTTATAATGAATTGGTCCATCCTTAAAACACCACCTGCATGTAACAATATTTCAAAAAATTGCATACTATGCCTAGAAAAAAAAATTTAAAATTATCACACAGGCAAACCAAAAAACTTTATTAAACAAAAAATCGGAATTTATTTCTAAATACATGCGAAAATAAGTTTCTCCAAAAAAAAACTGCAAAAATAAGTGAGCTCAAATAGTAATTATATTAAGTTCCTCCTTTTAAAAGTTTTTAAAAAAAAGCAGTAGTAAATAGTTCTAAAGAATTTTCCTTAATAATAGTTCAAGGTATTTCACAAATGTGTGAAAATTTACAGCATTTAAGACATTTGCGGCTTTCAGTAATTTAAATTTTGGTATAAGTTTTTATAAAAGTTTTATTAAATTTATCATTTATTTCTAATGATTCTTTATTAATGAAAAACAATGTTAAATGAAAAAAAATTGTGTTAAGTCATTTTCTACTACTTTATAGAGTATTGATATTATTATAGAGTATTATTTTTTAAGAATATTTATATATATATATATATATATATATATATATATATATATATATATATATATATATATATATATATATATATATATATATATATATAATATATATATATATATATATATATATATGTATTATTCTTTTGTGAGTATTGAGCACTCTATTTTGTAGAATACATTTTAAAGTTGAATATATATATATATATATATATATATATATATATATATATATATATATATATATATATATATATATATATATATATATATAAAGATCGTTCTTAAATTTTGCAACGCAAATTTTAGTGACCTCCCAATATCTCGAGCCCTGGTAACTCGAACTTCCAGTAACTCGAAGTACTTTTAAGTTCCCCTTGAACCCTTACTAAAACCTTCTTATAAAAATCACTAGACAACTCAAATCCCCGTTAGCTTGAACATTCACTGTGTTTTATCTTCTCCCGTATTCACTCACTACAATACCTCGAGACGGAATGCTTTTTATCTTTTTTGGTTTGTTTATAGCGAAAGTTTGCCTTACGTAATTTATGGACAATCCGATATGGAAAGTCATAAAAAAAATATTGTAAAAACCAATATTATGTAGATTTAAAAAAAAAATTACCCAAGATATTACTAGTTTATAAAGAAAATATTACGTAGTTCCAAAAAAATTCAATTGAAGTTATATTAATATAAAAGCTTCAAAATGAATTTCAAATATATTGAAAAGGTTTGTTGTTAAGTAATAGACAAAAATGTAATAAACAAAATATTATAAAGTAAGAAGTCTGTAATAATAATTTTGAATTTGTGTGTATAACTACCTCCTTTATTCATCTTTGTATCAATTTTAATTTAAGTTAAGTTTTAAGTGCAATTTTAATAAAACAATATATTAAAACAATAAAATAATATATACACAAAAGAAAGAAACTTTGGTAAATGTTTAATTCTTTTAAGTGCTATAAAAGTGGCTCAGCATAAGAGAACTATAAACTATTCTTGCAGCATGATTTTGATTAAGCGTGGCCTATTAGGATATATGGGTAATTGCCCAAGCAATATTGCTGTATATATAATTGCATTGTATAAATGAGAAGTACAGAAGCTTTGAATTTTTGAGAGTTTTGAGCAAGGTTTGTAGAGAATCTCAAAATTTTTTGAAACTTTGTGTTTAAATTGTTTATGCTTGTTTTCCATGAGATGTTATCATATATAAATATATCTAACAATAAAATTAATTTCAACTATTATCATTTCTTGTTAAAGTTTGTAAATGATCACTAGTGATCAATTTAAATTTATATTTATACAATTATATATTGTTTTAACAAGTTATATAAAAACATATAACCATAAGTGCAATTTATTTTTGAATAACGTTAATTATTCTATAGTTATTTTTTTTATATCATCTTTTATAATTACTTATTAAATCTTTTTTTATGAAACTTGTTATCAAATTTTAATGATAAAAATTAAACATTTATATAAATATTAAAGAACAGCATTAAAACAAAGTATTTCAACAAATTTTTATGTTTAAAAGAAGTTAAATAAACTAGAACTAATTCGATCAATAGCTAATCACTAAAAATTGTCATTAACAAGATAATGGATTGATATCTTACGAATCTATTATGTTCTTTTTCTTAAATGCTTTTTTTATTTGGATAAAAAAAAAATTGATTAAGAAATTAATTATTTAAAAGGTTCTATTAGTTAAGCAAGAGGTGAACTAAAATATAACCTGGCTTAGAACATGGAATGGTTGCTTTAACTGCTGTTGCTGTCGTAATAGTAGTAACAGTTGATTGTGGAGGAGGTATGGGTTGAATGAGTACTTGCCCTGGTGTACCATTATAAACAGCGTATATTTTAAAAAAAGTTGCATTAGCTTCATTAGCTATTGAAACTGATGTTGTATTAATTCCATAAAACTGATTGACTATCTGATAGGTGTTGTTTAAAAATTCTATGTTATACGTAACAGGACATGTTCCAGATGGAATGGAATTCCAGTTCAAGTAAATGGAAAAGTTCTCTAACTGCACCACTGGTGATGAAAGACTCACGATTCCTGGTGTAACTATAAAGTTGAAAAAGTATAACAATTAAAATAAAAACAGCAATGATAATAATAATAACAATCACAACTATTTAGCAGAAATAAAAAACAAGATTCAAACTTAAAATTAAAATACTAAATAAAATGATATAATTTTCTCATTTAAAAATATTTAGAAATTTTATTTTATTAAAATCTTTTTTTAATACATTTTTGCATGATGAACTGTATTATTAACGCAATAAATAAATGTATATAAAAATAATAAACAAAAAAATGTCCAGTAAATATTTAAAAACAAAAATAATTACAAATAACTTTATAAAAAGAATGTATAAGGTTATTAGATCTTATTAAATTAGTTTTTTCAAAAAACTTTACTTTTATTGATCGCAACATGTACAATGTTTAAATACAAAAAATCTGATGAAATAAAAATGTTTGAATATAAATTAGTTGAATGTAAAAAAGTATGGACTTAAATTAAGAAATTTTCTTAATTTTACATTTTAAAAAGTCTTTTTTCAACAAAAGATTTTTTTCTCAAGAGAATTTATGATAAAATTTATGATAAAAATGATAAAATTTCATAAAAAAGACAAATTTTAAGTGTTTAGATCATGATGGAAAATTTTAATGTAGGGTTTTCATTAAATATCGATACTTTAAATTAATACCTTGAATGAAATTCTTTTGCTTAAATATTGTCAAAGCAATGCAAAAAAAAACATTTTATAACAAAATAAAAGTGACAAAAAATTAACCAAAGTATGAGGAAAAAGTTTTAGTATAAAAAACTAACACAAATTATAATGTAAGCAAATACTTTTGAAAAACATTTAACATTTGAAAAACTAGGTATCTGAAAGAAGATGAGTAGGATCTTATCGTCAGAACCTTATACTAGTGTAAAGAAATTATTAGGTTATAAAGTAACTATAAATAAAACAAAATAAAAATAAAGTATACATGCATATATCACTTTGTAGTATAGATAACATAATTTAATAAAATATTTCGATAATATAAATATTATTTTCAAATTTTGATAATACGGAAGAGAAAAAGATTTTTCAGCTTAACTTTAAAAAGATGCAAAGAAGTAGATCCAAATTAAAATTAGACAAAACAGTTTTGTCCCAAACATGTGATGCACGATAATAAATGCAAAGTTGGTTAAAATTTATTCGACAAAAAGGCTCATATAGAAAGTTGTTATTTCTTAGAGAGTAATTATTGGTAGGTTTAAGGATCGTTAAAAGAATCAAATTGTTTTTGGTTTGTTAAATAACTTTTAAAACCATTTCAAAATTACACCATCCACTCTATAATATTCAAGTAACAGTGAAGTAAAAGTCAATTGAAAAGCTTTCAATTGACTTTAATTTATCATGACTTATTAATTCATATGTAGTCGACTCTGGCTGTTGTAAAACATCACTTTCTTTTTTGTTATCGCGTTCAAAGTGAATGTTCATGAGGTATGAATAACCTGATTTTATATTTATCATTCACAGACGTCTTTGAAAATAAATTTTCTAACAAATGCTGATTAAATGGGACGATTGCAGTTGCTCTAAAACTTGAAGTAACATTTTCCATATTAGCAGCTCTTAAATATGCTTTATTAAAAATTTCTCCAAGATTTTCTATTTGAATTCGTCTTCCTGAATGATTTTGCATCCATCTCACACATGCTTGATTAAAAAGGTTTTCAAAGGCTAAAAAAATCCACGGTGAACTGGTTGAAGTTTATGAATTGTGTGCAGTGGAACTTTTTTTGCAGAATTCAAATACTATCAATCTAATATCCATCGTTGAGAGCCCATAAAATGAATTGTCTATATCTTTAATATCTTATTTAATATCTATACTTTAATATCTATACTTAATTAGCTCTTGTTCTTAATTATCAGAAACTTTTCTAAATTTTTAGGAAAGGAAGGAAGGAGGAAAAAAGAGGTATTTTAAAAAAAAAAAATGCTTTGGGAGATAAAATGAGTAATAAAAAATAATTGGCGGATACTGAAAGTAAATTAGTATGTAAACTACTTTCAAGTGAAGCCTTTTTTAACACGCCGATGTGATGAATCTCTTAGCACACAAAAGTTTTTACAAGACTTTCTTAAAGACATCTGCTTTAACTTTACTGCTGTAATAGCGTTTTTCATGTCATCTTCGTTGCAGTTAACTCGATTAGTTTTAAAAATTTTTAGTTAGTAAATTAAAATAAAGTTGCGTAATACTCTTTTAAAGTTTCTAATAAAATTATGTTTTAGATAAAATTCTTTCATAACATAATGATTAAACTAAAATATTAAGATAAGAAAATGATGAGTAAACGTTTGCTTTGACGATTTGTTAAATTTATAAACTTGCTTTCCTTTACGTTTAGTTTGACGATCTTTTTCAGTAACTAGCGTTGTCGCACTTTCTTCGTAAATGTGAAGTTATATATTTTTTAAATATCTTTGAAACAAAATAGTGTGACATAAAAAGAAGAATGGTAGCCGAAAAATAACAAATAAATGATTACAAACTTATTATTATGTTTGCTCTGCGGTAAAAAATGGCAGCGTACAAGGTTTTTTTCCATACAAAAAAAAAAAAAAAATCAATTTTGATTTTTTAATCAACTTGAAGCAACTCCTTAGCTTTAAACCCACTTTTCTATGTCATATTTTAGGAAAAAACTGATGAAAACTATTTCAAAACATTAAAAAAACATGAAATTTTTAATATAATAAACCAAAATCACTGTATTATTTGAAAAAAAAACTGTACAATGCAAGAAAGCCTGAATGTCTCACTTTGGCCCGGTGTCTCGCTTCGCCCCAGGTTACCATACTGTATCAAATGCTTTTGATAAAACCAAAAAATTACCTAGCGTGAAATTGTGAATATTTGAAAGAGTTAGAGATTTCACGGACAGATTGGTTGATTGCATGCTCAGTAGAACTTTTTTTTTTTAAAACCAAACTGATTTTTATAAAAACAATTCTTCTGCTAAAAATAAGTATATAATCTCTTGTCAATAATTTTTTCTAAGATTTTTAAAAATGTTGATAAAATAGCGATTGGTCGGTAGTTGCACATATTAGTTCTGTCTCCTTCGTTATTTATTGTGAATAGCTATTTTTAACTTATCAAGAAAAACTCCTTGTTGTATTGACGCTCTGAAAACTTTAAAGAGAATATCTTTTTATTGTTCAAAGCATTCTAATGTTGTCTATGAAATAAATGTTTAAAATATAAAAAATCAGCTCCAGGGGCATTGTTATTTTAATAGACTTTAACGACACTTGAAACTAATCAAATGATAACTCAGAAAATAAATTATTGCAGCAAATGCAATCATCCATCGGTGTTAAAAAGTTATAAAACACAACTTGGCTATTAGAAATTTTATTTGCTAGTTTGGAACCGATCCCAATAAAGAAGGTTCAAAAATATCTTTGTTATTTATTCTAATCACCTGCGGTAGAGTACATGAGCAAGTTTTTTGTTTTCCACCAATTTCTGTTAATATTTTTTAAGTACGTTTAGAGTAGTTCTTAGCATTTTCAATTGATTTTGAGTAGTTATTTTTTTTTAAGGTTTAACGAATTTTTTTAAATAGATATTTGTAATCTTTGTATAATTTTTCATTTAAAGGTGTTTTTGTTTTTAAATAATTTATATATAGCTTTTGTTTGCTCTGAAATAATTTTTTAAAACCTTTAGCTTTCCGAAGGAGCATTTAACTATTTTGATTTATTGTTTTTTCACAGATGGGAAAACTTTGCATTTATTGTTATAATTTAGAAGTTTAAGGACTTTAGTACTAGGTAGCTTATCTTTAATTCTTTCTATTCGACGGGCTTGCTCAACCACTATATCATCGGCAATTCCAAACTGGTTTTTAAAGATCTTTTTAACTGCTATTGTACACCCGAGAAAAAAAAACCCAGCTAATACTACTAGGAATCTGTTTAACTTTCTGCTAATCCTGTTAAGTTCCTGCTAAAACGGCTAATCCTGGTAAGTTTTTGTCTAATACGGCTAAACCTATAAAGTATCCCATTTGTCAAATGACGTTTATGAATTTCCTACTAATCCTTGTAAGTTTCTACTAAGTACTTATCAGGATCAAACGAATTACTCAGTAAGTCCCTAGTAAGTTTTCAAAAATAAAACAAGTATAAAAAATTGCCTTTGTTATACCCCATCTTTTATTTATTCACACGGAAGACAAGTGAGCCCTAAAGCTTTTTTAGATTCAATAGTTTTACTAATTAATATTTGTAACTCTATAGGAAAAAAGCTCAAGAACATCTGGAGATTGCGTGGTTTGCAGTTTATTTGATGAATATTGGTTAATATGTTATAATGTGGTTTTAAATGGTAATTTTAACTCTATATAAAATTCTACCATTTTCTGTTGTATCAATTCGAGCATTTTCTGATTCATAGAGATTCACATGTATGGTAATGTGTTTTTTAAATAATATTTTATTTTATTTCTAATTTTTTTCTTTTCATTTTTTATGATTTTATATTGTTTAATAAACATAAAATCATAAATCATAAACAATTATATTGTCACTCTTTCTTTTTACTCTTTCTTTTTACTAAAAAAATAAGTGACTTATCTATACATATAAAAATAAGTCACTTCTTTTTAGTAAAAAGAAAGAGTTTTATTTTAAACTTTCTTTAAATTTTATTTGTAATTTTATTTAAAAAATCAAATTTTAATGTCAAAAAATTCACTCACTTCAAGCCTGACTAAAAGTTTTAGTCAGATTAAAAGGGAGCGAACCATTTGACATAAACAATTGATCAATCTTGAAATCACTCTCATAAAATATATATAAACATTTTTTAGTGGTAAATATATTTTTATTTTTATTGTTATCTCTTGATAACAAGATTTAAAATTTTCTTTTAGCATGTTAAACAAACTATAAAGTTATTGAATATTGTTATATTTTATATTATAATTTTTGTTTACTTTACATTAAGATTTTTGTTATAATATA